ACCGCCCCCCGAGACCCTTCCAGCCGCCCCCGCCCCCCAAAGGGGGGGGGGGGGCAGGGTCCCACTGCGAAAGAGGGGGAGGGGTGCCACCCGAGACCCCATCGGCCGCCCCCCCCCAACCAGGGAAGGGGGGAGTGGGTCCCTCTGGTTTCGAGTCGGCGCTGCACGCATAGGAGGCCGTATGCGAACCCTACCCCACCACCCCACGATTTCTAAGGGGAGAGGGGGGTCTTCGTTCGGGACCTCCCGAGCGAAGTGAACCCCACCTTCCCCCTTAGAAATCGTGGGGTGGTGGGGTAGGGTTCGCATGGGGTCACCGAGCGCACTAATGGAACTCGACCGGAGAGCGCAGCCAGGCTGGCAGTGCGCCAGGCCAGGCCCTCGGGACGGGGGCCTGGACCTGGCAGCAGCTGACGGGGAACGCAGGAAATCAGCCCCAATGCCCCGGGAGCCCCCCTTCGGCGGCGCGCGAGGACATACTAGTACCAAATGTCCTCCTTGGAGGCGTGCGCCCGACCCGAACATATAGTATACCCATCTTGTAGTAGATCGTTCCGAGAGCGTTGTGGCAAGAATGCGCGCGCCATGACCCATGGATTAGAAGATTTTTCAGTGCGCGCGTCGCCCCTGGGGGGGCGAGTATTAGCATGTCGGGGTGAAGCCGACCCTTGTGTGACGGGGGTGGGGGCCCACCCAGGCACCTCCGAGGATTTTGGGATGGAGGGAAGAGGGAGGGCAAAGAGGGAAGAGGGAGGAGGAGGGAGAGAGGGACATCTCCTCCATCCATCTCCCCCTCCAGAATGAGAGGGGGACGGGGGGAGGAGAAAAAACGATGGGACAGGGTAGAGGACAGAAGAACGACCCCCACAGGAGGCACCCGCCCAAGGCGAAGCCCTTTGGCAAGCGCGCCGAAGGCAGAATCGCTGCCTGCCTCTTCCGAGATTGAAGGAGCACTGGGACACTCAAAAGAAAGACACAAATAACAGGATTCGCCATATTTTCCCATATAGTTGTGGTGTTTGTCTTCCCCCCCAATTCCCATACTTTCCCATATTTTCTAGGGGAATCGACGATGAATTGTGCCTGTGTGTTTCTCTTCCTCCTGAGAGATGTCCTCCTCCTCCTCCTCCTTACGGAGGGGGGCTCGAGGCTCCCAGGCTCGAGCTGCGTCGAGGCCCGCGCGGGGAGGCCGGGCCCAGAGCTGGGGCGGCACGGCGAGAGGCGGTGCCGTGGCGTCGAGAGTCCGGAGTGAAGCTCTGGAAAACTCGAGCGTGGGCACGAAATATGCCAGGTGCACCAACATACATACATGTGCATATATATATATATATATATATATGTATGTATGTATGTATGTATGTATGTATGTAGGTATGTATGTATGCATGCATGCATGCATGCATGCATGCATGCATGCATGCATGCATGCATGCATGCATGTATGTATGTATGTATGTGTGTATGTATGTATGTGTGTACGTATGTATGTATGTATGTACGTACGTACGTACGTACGTATGTATGTATGTATGTATGTATGCATGTATGTATGCATGTATGTGTGTATGTATGTATGTGTATGTATGTGTATGTATGTCTGTCTGTCTGTCTGTCTGTCTGTATGTATGTATGTATGTATGTTTGTATGTATGTATATATGTATGTATATGTATGTGCATACATGCACATATATATTTATATACATATCTATATGTGTGTTTGTATGTCTATATATACATACAAGCAAATATAGGTGTATACAGATGTATAAATATATTCAGGCACCCTCCGACGAAAACAGGAGTGCCCCAGCGAAGCACCCTCACAGAGGCGGAGAGGCGGGTCGAGGAGCGGGAGGTCGGCGAAGGGGGGCAGGTGTGCGGGTACGGCAATGTGCACCTCGGCGAACAATTCCCAAGGGGTCGTGGCCATCTGGACCAAACATGCAGCCAGCATCGAGGCGAGAGCACAAGGGAGGAGGGAGGAGGAAGGAGGGAGGAGGGAGGAAGATGGAGGAGGGGGGAGGGGCAAGTTAGGTGCGCTCGCGTCAACATCTGACATCCTACCCCTCCCTCCCATCCCTTACCATGGCGCTGATTTTCTCTATCCGCGGACGCGTGTCGTAGCGGACCTGTGGCTCCGCGCGCGTGTGCGTAGTGGGTGGTGGTGCGCGTGCGTGCGTGCGTGTGTGCGTGGTTGTGGTTGTTGTGGTGGTGGTGTGTATGTGTGTGTGTGTGCGTGTGTGCGCGTGTGCTGTGGTGTGACGTGGTGTGGCGTCTTGGTGGTTTGGTGGTGGGCCAGGTGCGTACGTGCGTGATGGCGGTGGTGGTGGTGGCGGTGGTGGTGGGTGTGTGTGTGTGTGTGTGTGTCTGTGTGTGCGTGTGTGTGTGTGTGTACGTGCGTATGTGTGTGTGTGTGTGTGCGTGCGTGCGTGTCTGTGTGTGCGCGCGTGTGATGTGGTGTGACGCGGTGTAGCGTGGTGGTGGTGGGTGGGGCAGTG